CAGAGGAGGGGGCACAAACCCACTGCCTTACTCTTAAAAAAAAAAAAAAAAGATTCATTGGGGGGCTGATGCTGTGGCAGAGCGGGTTAAGCCTCCACCTACAACAAAGTCCCAGCTGCTCCACTTCCCATGCCCTGCCTGCAGCTTCTCATTGAGTGAATGCTAACCAGCCCTCGTTTCCTGGTTTTGATAATATGCCAGCAGGAAGCAGCTGTTGCCAGGGGAGCTGGGGGCGGGAACCCTGGGTAGGATTCCTTCCAGCTTCTCCTCCATCAGCAGCTCCTTTGAGATGAAGTTCCAGGGAGAGTCCCCACTCCGCAGTGGGCCCCTCGCGGCAGCACTGGTGACTCAGCTGGCTGCGACCCCTCAGGCGGGGGCTCCAGGAGGCTCCCGGCTCCGGCCTGAACTCGCACATAGTTCATCTCTCCTTCTCTCTCCCTCTTTCTCTGGACTTTGATTTGCAAATAAACAAATCTTTAAACAAATGTATAGACTGTATAAAGGTCTGGAGTTTATGGTAATGGAACCATCCCGGTGTGACCCTGCCTCTTTTCTTTCTTTTTGTTAAAAAGATTCATTTCTGAGGGCCCAGTGCAGTGGCTTAGCAGCTAAAGTCTTCGCCTTGAAGGCGCCAGGATCCCATATGGGCGTCGGTTCTAATCCCGGCTGCTCCACTTCCCATCCAGCTCCCTGCCTGTGGCCTGGGAAAGCAGTGGAGGACGGCCCAAAGCCTTGGGACCCTGCACCTGTGTGGGAAGAGGCTCCATGGCTCCTGGCCTTGAATGAGCACAGCACCGGCCGTTGCGGCCGTTTGGGGAGTGAATCATCGGACAGAAGATCTTCTCTGTCTATCTGACTTTCCAATAAAAATAAACAAATCTTAAAAAAAAAAAAGATTCACTCCTATTTGAAAGATAGAGTTAGAGCGAGAGGCGTCGATCTGAAGCCAGGAGCTTCTGGGTCTTCCACGGGCTTTCCCAGGTTCATCAACAGGGAGCGGGACGGGAAGTGGAGCGGCTGGGACTAGAACCTGCGCCCCATGGGAAGCTGTACGCCACTGCGCCTGCTGCAGTAATCTATGTTATTAAAAAGGAAACAGGCTCACTCTGAGTGACTTCAAGCCCCAAATCCAGACGCTGTCCGCTGGTCACTGTTGCCACCAGTGGCTACCCACGGTGCCCTGCAGGGCAGTGCCTCTCCCGTCCTGCAGGAGACCTTGGAGCCTTGTGGCAATGACCGTGACCAGGGCACGCCTCCGAGGTTGCCCCAGGTCTCCACGCGAGCCAAGGCCTGGCCTTCCAGCCTCCCATGCAGCGTGTCTATTTCCGACCCTGTGACCTCAGGCTCTCCGGCTGGGAGTTAATCCGCAGCAGCTGGTGGGTCCTGCGGAGGGCACGGTGCCCCGGCTGGGCAGGAATGGATCCCTGCGCCTCTAGAAATAACACTCGGGGTTGAAGTGTCCCCGGAGCTCTGCTTGCATCTCAGCTCCGGGGCTGGGCTCGGGGAGCCGCGCCGTGAGTAAGACGTGCGTTTGTACAGCGGTGGCGGTGCAGGGTTGGGACGTGGCCTCTGGGCTCTGGCCCTGCTGCTAACCTGGGTGTGGCCGTGGACGGACGGGGACAGTTCGAGTCCCCGGGGGCTGCACTTCCCACCCAGCTCCCTGCCTGTGGCCTGGGAAAGCAGTGGAGGACGGCCCAAAGCCTTGGGACCCTGCACCTGCGTGGGAGACCCGGATGAGGCAGAGTTATTCTGCCTTTGAAAAAAATTAATAGATCTCAAAGGAAAAAAAAAAAAAAAGAAGGAAAGAAATAAACTATCGAGACACAGAGAGCTGTAGGGGAACCTTGACTGCAGGTCGCTGAGTGAAAGAAGGGTGCCTGGAAAGGCTTAATTTTTTTTTTAAGGATTTGTTTATATTTTTTATTGCAAAATCAGATATACAGAGAGGAGGACAGACAGAAGATCTTCTGTCCGATGATTCACTCCCCAAGTGGCCCAAATGGCCAGAGCTGAGCCGCCCTGAAGCCAGGAGCCAGGAGCTTCTTCTGGACCTCCCACGCGGGTGCAGGGTCCCAAGGCTGTGGGCCGTCCTCCACTGCTTTCCCAGGCCACAGGCAGGGAGCTGGGTGGGAAGTGGAGCTGCTGGGATTAGAACCAGCGCCCATGTGGGATCCTGAGGCATGCAAAGCAAACATTTAGCCACTGGGCCACCACACCAAGTCCAAATAAACAAATTAAATAATAATAATAAAAAGAACCAATCCACAAATCAAGGTTTGCAGCTCTTCACAGAATCAGGCCTCTCTCACCATCGCAGGACCGGCTCAGGGGCCGTGTGCTAGGAGGGTCCCACAGCCCCCCTCTCTCACCATCGCAGGACCGGCTCGGGGGCCGTGTGCTAGGAGGGTCCCACAGTTAGTTGCATGCTCTGTTCTCCATACCGAGGGCACCGAGTCAGACCCTGTGTCTTTGGCCTTGCCCACCCTGCAGCTTCCCTCCGGGAGGGTTCCGGGGTGGCATGGGGTGACAGGGAGCAGAGGGGAGCCTGACCACTCTGTGTGGCCGCTTGGCCTGGAGTGGGAAGGAGGGACGCTGTGAGAGTCCTTCCAGGGCGCATGTCTCCCCGGGACTCTGCGTCACCTCCGGGCAAGCCTCCCTGTGCAAAGGCTGGGAACAACACGCAGCCGGTTTTGTTTTTGCGAAAGTAAGTCGAGGTCCAGAACAGCTCTGGAACAAACAGGTGTTGGCATGTGGAAGGGGGCAAGACACAGAACAAAGAGAGAGGGGATGGCCCTCTGTGTAGCAGATCCAAGGCGGGGGCAGAGAGAGACAGAGAGGGGGAGGCAGGGATGGAGGTCTGAAGGGGGCTCCCAGCCCACACACCTCTGCGCTTCAGTGAACGCCCCCACCTGTTTTTTCCCCTTGTATTCTGGGAAGGGAAAAGAGAAAAATGCAGTGGTTTCCAAGCTGAGGTGGAGAGGGGGGTGAGACACTCGCGGAGTTTGGCGCGGGTGCTGCACCAGAGCCACGAAAACGCTAGAAACAGAGCATGGTGAAGCTCGCCTAAAAATAGGACCCATCCTAAGGAGGACATTCCCCCTGCTTGAGCTGAACCAGCCGCGGCTGCTGTCTCTGCACTGCCCCAGGGCGGAGGGTGACCCCACACCACCCAGCCAGGAGTGCTGGTGTGGGGAGGGCACGGGAGGGGCTGTGATGGCCGGGAGGCACAGCTGGTGTCATATTCGGGGAACCTGATCGCGGTGAGGGTGGCGTGGGGTGCAGGGCTGCACAGTCCGGCCCTTATATAGACACGGGGCCAGCCAAGGGCACGGAGCGAGGTCAGGCAGCAGGCCCAAGCTCATGCACCTGCCTGCCCCCTAAGGGGGGACCCCCCAACATCTGCTCTCCATCCCTCACACGCCACGGTTCTCTCTCCCCGCCCACAGCATCTGCTTCCCCACCCCCAAACGCGACCTTCCCGGCGGTGGCGGAGGGGGCTTCGCCGACCCCAGGGACGCCCTCCCCCCGGCCCCGCACGCACCTGGCTCATATTTGAGGTAGAGAATGGACACGATGAAGTAGCTGAGATCGAACACGGGGAACAGGGGCACTCGCGAGAAGCTGAGCGCCAGCTCCCCCAGGCTCAGCGCCGACAGCAGCTCCATGGCCGCCTGGCCCCCCAACCCCGCTGCCGCCCGCAGGCAGCCCCGGGACCACGGTCCCGCCTCCGCCGCCGGGCCCGCCCCGGGGACGGTCCAGGGGAGGAGGGTCCAGGGAGGAGGGTCCAGGGAGGAGGGCCAGCCAGCCGCCAGGCACCGCCCAGGGACGGTCCAGGGGAGGAGGGTCCAGGGAGGAGAGTCCAGGGAGGAGGGTCCAGGGGAGGAGAGCCCAGGGGAGGAGGGTCCAGGGAGGAGGGTCCAGGGAGGAGAGTCCAGGGAGGAGGGCCAGCCAGCCGCCAGGCACCGCCCAGGGACGGTCCAGGGGAGGAGGGTCCAGGGAGGAGGGTCCAGGGGAGGAGAGTCCAGGGGAGGAGGGTCCATGGAGGAGGGTCCAGGGTCTTTCAGGGAGGAGGACCAGTGGGTCTCCCAGTCATCCTCCCCGGAGACTCGCCATCAGGGAAGAGGGTCAGCGGGTAACCCATCCCCTGTGAGGCTGCTCCGGGACCCCGTCCCCCAAGGGACTGCACCCGGACCCCAAACCCCTGGGTCTCCATAGGGACCCGCGTCCACCGTGAGGCTGCAACAGGACCCCCGTCCCCAGGGTCTCCACAGGGACCCCCGTCCACCGTGAGGCTGCAACAGGACCCCCCGTCCCCCGAGGGGCTTCACCGGGACCTCGTCCACCGTGGGGCTGCATCGGGACCTCAACTCCCGGGTCTCCACAGGGTCCCCTGTTCCCCGAGGGGCTGCACCTGGACCCCCATCCCCAGGGTCTCCACAGGGACCCCCGTCCACCCTGAGGCTCCACCGGGACCCCCATCCTCAGGGTCTCCACAAGGACCCCCGTCCCCTGAGAGGCTGCACCGGGACCCCCGTCGTGTCAGCAGCCCAGTCAGGCCCCGTGTCCCCGGGGTCCACGTGCTCAGCTCCTGCGCCCCCCGTGGGGCCCCCCACACCCGAAACTGCCCCACCTGTGGGGCGCGCAGCTTCCTGGGGACCCCGACCCTCCACATGGGGTCCTCTTCTGGAGTCCAGTCTGGCTTCCAAGTCGACAGAGCCTAAGAAGGACACCAGGACTGCGGTCCCCCCTGGGCCGTTTACCGACTCTACAGAGTCTACAGAGTAAATCGGGGAGCCCCACGAGTGAGGCTGAGGGGCGCGGGGAGCCTCACGGCGCATGCGCCGCGCGGGGCGGCCCTCCATGCAGGCTCCACCCCCAGCCCAACGTCACAAGGCAGCGCCGCCGCCCCCTCCGTGGCGCACAGTGGGCGGGACTCTTTCCGGCGCTAGTTCCTTGCTTCGAGATTGGTCGACTTGTGCTCCTTTGCTCTCCCAGCTGATACGCGCTCGGGGACTTCCGTTTCCGGTTCTGACGGACGCGTCGGCCGGAGAGATGATCGGAGACATCCTGCTGTTCGGGTAATTCCGGGGAAGGACGAAGCCGAGCCGAGGGGATGAGGGCGGGACGGGGCGCGGGCAGGCCAGTCAACCACACTGTCCCTCTGCAGGACGCTGCTGATGAACGCCGGCGCCGTGCTCAACTTTAAACTGTGAGGAGGCCGTGCGGGACTGTGGCTGCGCCTGGGGCCCCGTGACCCCGCCCACCCGGCCCCGCCCCTCGCCCCTGCCCACCCGGCCCCGCCCCTCGCCCCTCGCAGCAAGTGGCCCTGGTCCTGGCCCCGCCCCGCCCACAAGCCCCACCCCGCCCACAAGCCCCACCCCGCCCACAAGCCCCGCCTCATGAGCTGGAAGCCCCGCCCACGACCGGAACTTCTCCCTGCCTGGCCCCGCCCCATTCCCTGGAGTAGGCAGCCCTCCCTGGGGTGGGCAGGCCCGGCTGGGTGGACAGGCCTCCCTGGGGTGGGCAGGCCCTGGGGTGGGTGGCCTCCCTGGGGTGGACAGGCCCGGCTGGGTGGGCAGGCCCGCTGGGTGGACAGGCCTCCCTGGGGTGGGCAGGGCCTGGGACGGGTCGCTAGCCCATCCGTCCCAGCTCACACACGGCAGTGACAAGCTCAGGGGCGGGTGTCGGCGTGACGACCCTGAAACCGGTCCCCGTTCCAAGCAGGAGAAAGAAGGACACACAGGGCTTTGGGGAGGAGTCGAGAGACCCCAGCACAGGTAAGGCCTCCTCCCGGACCCCTGGGTGGCCCCGGTGTGTCTACACCCAGCTCTGCGTCCTGGGTGCGTGGCTGTGGATGGGGAGTGTGTGGGGCAGTGGGGGGCCGTGGCAGGGGCCGACTGAGATGCTTTCTCTCCGTGGGCTCGTCCTCGTGTTTGCTTTTTCTCTGCTGTGCATGGGGGTGGGGCAGTGAACAGCCCCCCACCTCTCCTTGTTGCTTTTGGTGGAGGTTATTTGTTCTTACTGGAAAGGTGTGTTTACACAGAGAAGGGGAGAGAGAGAGAGAGAGAAAGCTCTCCCATCCGCTGGTTCACTCCCCAAGTGGCCACAATGGCCAGAGCTGAGCTGATCTGAAGCCAGGAGCCAGGAGCTTCATCTGGGTCTCCCTCAGGCCTTCCCAGCCTTCCCGAAGCTTCCAGGGTTCTTCCTGCGTGCGACACTTCACCGGCTGTGCTGCAGCGCTGGCCCCCAGACACTGGAATTTGAATTTTGGCTTTTGTAAAATATACTTTTGCCCCCACCTGCTTTGAAAAGATAGAAGCCTGGGGTAGTAATGGGGTAGTGTGGTATAGCAGCTTAACCTGCCGCCTGTCAAGCCAGAATGTCACATTGGAGCAGTGGTTCAGGCCTTCTGAATGCTCCTGGGAAAGTAGCAGGCAATGGCTTGGGCCCCTGCCGCCCTCCTCGGAGACCTGGGTGACGCCGCTGACTCCAGGCTTGAGCCTGGCCCACTCGCAGCCAGTGCTGCCCTGGGGGGAGTGGACCAGCCAGCAGTGCGTGGACAGTTTATCTCCCACTCTGATCCTCCGCCTGTAAGTACCAGCATCTCATATGCATGCTGGTTCGAGTCCCGGCAGCTCCACTGCCCACCCAGCTCCCTGCCTGTGGCCTGGGAAAGCAGTGGAGGACGGCCCACAGCCTTGGGACCCTGCACCCGCGTGGGAGACCCAGAAGAGGCTGCTGGCTCCTGGCTTTAGATCGGCTCAGCTCTGGCTGTTTTGGCCACTTGGGGAGTGTACTAGCAGTTGGAATATCTCTCTGTCTCTTTTTCTCTCTATAAATGTGATCTGCCTATTAAAAATACAAATCTTTAGTTAAAAACCAAATAAACAAAAAGATGCAGTCACACAGCCCCCTTGCAGTGGCAGTGACACCATGGGAGGGTCCGCGGGGGCCAGGCCATCCTTGTGACGCCGTGGGAGGGTCCGCGGGGGTCTGGCCATCCTGTGACGCCGTGGGAGGGTCCGCGGGGGTCTGGCCATCCTTGTGACGCCGTGGGAGGGTCCGCGGGGGTCTGGCCATCTGAGTCCTTTTCTGCTTCGACAGGTGACAACATCCGGGAGTTCCTGCTGAGCCTCCGTTACTTCCGCATCTTCATCGCCCTGTGGAATATCTTCATGATGATCTGCATGATCCTGTGAGTGTGGCCTGCCCCGCCCCCAGCCCAGGGTGACTGGCCGAGGGGTCCCCACGGACCCTCAGGCTGCACGCTTCCTGCTCGCCACGCAAGCGGAGGAGCCATGTGGGGCTGGGGGTTCGATGCCATCGCTGAGGTGTCCCCACAGGCCGGGGCGGGCCCGAGCTGGCGCTCACTGGGACCCAGCCACGCCTGGCCCTGCGCACAGCATCCGTGCCCACCCCACAGCCTTTCCTCAGCTCCGACATCCACCTGTCGGCAGGATGCTCCTCGCGCGGGCTGTGTGCTGCCTGTTGAAGATTTTAAATAGTGATTACACAGTTGGGAGGTCAGGTCGAGTTTGTAAATATGAAAAAAAATGCCAGGCTAGACTCAGAGTCAACAGACTTGGGAAGACTCCGAGCATGCTGGGTTGGCGTGGCTGGGTCTGCGATCGGGATTCGAGGGGCAATGCGGGGTCCCTGGCCGCTGTCTGCACAGCTGACTCAGGACGTGGGAGAGCCGAGCAGGAGCGTGGCGATGGCTGCGTGGCAGAGCCCCGGTGGCAGCCCTTCTCACAGCGTGTGCCTGTCTGGGAGTCCTGGGGAGCGCCAGCGTGGGGCCTGCCACGAGCCACGAGCCGTGCCAGCAGCCGGTGTAGGAGGAGTCACCCTGAGTTACACCGAAGCATGGCTTTACCCACTGTGCTACCACAGCGGGGCTGTGCCCCAGGACACCCTCGGCGGCCGGAACTCAGCCATTGCACGGCGTAACGGGTGAGGTGGCAACAGGAGCCCAGGCAGAGAGGCAACCTGGTGAGATGGCAGTGGGCCGGGCTTGTCAGAGGGAGACCATGCAGGAGGACTGGGCGGGGGCATGGCCAGCTGCGGTGTGCGGGCCAGGCAGGGGAGTGGCCGGCTGCGGTGCGGGCCAGGCAGGGGAGTGGCCGGCTGTGGTGTGCGGGCCAGGCAGGGGAGTGGCCGGCTGTGGTGTACGGGCCAGGCAGGGGTGTGGCCGGCTGCGGTGTGCGGGCCAGGCAGGGGAGTGGCCAGTTGCCCAGTGGTGCGGAGTGTTGTCGCTGGTTCATTTGTGATGTATTTGTTTGCGTCATACCATCTCGTCTGACCGGGTTCCTTGGCCCACTTGTCTGTTGTCCTGGGGCCAGGACGGCTTCCTGTCACTCTGTGACCCCCGGCCAGCTTAATCAGTAGCCCAGGGTCCCGATTTCATTTCCTGGGAGGCGAATGTGACTGGCCTGCGTTGGTCACAGGTCAGGTCTGGCTGGCGGGCTCCCAGTAACCATCAAGGCTTGGGCTTGGGGGCCACCGCCTCCCTGGGGCTGCACCGAGTGCCCTGGTCTTGCGGGTGGCCGTGTCACAGCTTGCCTGTGGCCCTTCCCCGAGAAGCTGGGCCCGCCCCGTCACAGTGGAGATGAGCCCTGAAGGGCAGCTCTTTCCAGAAAGGGCTTTTCCAGAGAGGCGGCGCCGCCTCCAGGAAATTGGAAACCACCTGCGTACCCAGAACCAGGAGGGATGGCCAGGCTCCCTCGGGGACGCCTGGCGTGCCATCTGATGCTGTCTGGGTGACCCGCAGGCAGAGGGCATGGCGGTGGGGACTGCTGCAGGGGCGTGCGCTGTGCGGGAGGGCTCAGTTCAGTGAGTTGAAGGGTCTACTCCAGAGGGTCCTTGGTGAGCAGGTTAGTGGGTGGGGTCTGGGTCACGGCTCAGCAGTGCCCACCTGCTGTGAGGTCTGAGGCAAATTGCTTACAGAATCTAAGGAGTCAATGAAAAACTCGAGACGTGGGCCCAGTTCAGTAGCCTAGTGGCTAAAGCCCTCAAACACACCAGGATTTCATATGGATGCCGGTTCTAATCCTGGCTGCCCCACTTCCCATCCAGCTGCCTGGATCACCCACTTGCCGGCCCCAGCTGAGAGTCACAGCGGTCCCTTTGAGAACGTGTCCAGCCGTCCCCACGCGGCGGTTCCTCTGAGAGCCGTGTCCTGCCGTCCTCACAGCCTGCGTGTCCCAATTCTGTCTCCCCAGGCTGTTCGGCTCCTGAGTCCCAGAGCCCGCGCCGGGAATGCCCCGCCAGCCGCCGGCCAGCCCCTCTGGATCCGACGCCTTCCAGGATGTGGTCGAGCAGCCTAGCCAGCGACCTTGTCTCCACTGCCTAAGCTCCCGTGGGCGGACATGCAGCCGCGGCCTCTGCTCGGGTCTCGGACGTGGGACTGTGTCCTGCGGGCTTGGGGTGGGGACTGTCGCAAGGGGCTGTGATTTTTTTTAAAAAAAGAAAAAAGCCTTCCACGGAGAGGAGAGAAAAATGGAACCCATCTTTTCATTCTGTTGGCATCCTGCCTCTGCCCAGCCGGCCCGAGGACACCTGCTTCCACGTCCTTTGGGGTTAGAAGCGCCAGGATTTGGTAAAAGCTGCTTATTGCTGTTGTTGAAGCAGGAGTGCCAGCAGAAGGGTTCGTTTGAGTTGGGGTGCAGCCACTTTGAGCAGCACTCGGGCTGACGGGGTCCCAGTGGGATGGGCCCTTACAGCCCGGCCGCTGCAGGGTCCGCTGGAGAAGCTGGGTGTGCTATAATGGGGTCACCGGCCTTCCCGAGGAGACACCGGACTGATGGCGGGGAGGCCGGGAGCGGGCCCGGTGGGTGGCCCTCCGGAGCCCCGGCCACCTCTGCTCTGGACCTGTCCGCTGTGCAGCCACCCGAACGGGAATGTTTTTTGGGTTGGTTGGTTGTTTTTTTCTTTCAGTTCCCTGGTGGTCGTTGGGTACCCCATTTGGTCTACCCTGCCAGCAGGGGGATTTTGAAAATGAGCCCCAAATAAAGCTCGGCTGAAGAAACACCGCAGCGCTCCATCCAGAAGCTTCTTTAAAAAGGCAGCCCCGCGTCGGCGGCTGGACCGATGCTCAGCGCCTTCTCGGACTCCGTGTCCTGTCCCCACGCGGGGCCGTGCCATGTGCCTGTCCCGTGGGCCGACCAAGCCCACGGTCACTGTGAGGCTGTGCTAGGCCCCCCTGAGCAGCAGAGACCCAGCCTAGGTGGGCTGAGCGCGGGTCCCTGTGGTCACGGTGGGCCCTCCGGGAGCCCTGTGGCAGGGAGTCTGCTGCCCCTTGCTGCCTGGGCCGCGGTCTGTGGCACATGGGCACGCGGCCGTCTGTGACCCCAGTAGAGCGGGCCGTCACTGGGGGAGTTTGGTCTCTGCCAGTCGGATATTTGTGCAGAGAACTGCCATCCTGTGCTTGGTGCTGTCTCAGCTCCCCGCTGGGAGGTAGCTGGATGTGCAAAGCCAGCTCTGCAGGCTGCACGGCTGACACCGGGGGCCAGGCTGTCGGAGCAGGCACCCCAGGGCGGGGCCGTGGCGGCCAAGACACCAGCCTCGACTCCCACTCCCCTGCTGAATGTTTAAAACAAAAGCCAACATCAGAAGGCGTTGCAGGATACTTCAGGTGTGTGGCGTGGGTGCCGTGGCTCTCGGCGTGCTCAGTGCTGGCACGCTCGGTCTGTCCAAGCCGGCTCTGTGGCGAGACCTCGGCCGAGTGCTTCCCGTGAAGGGGCCCTGGGCAGCTACAAGGGCTTTCTTTTTCTTTTTGAAGATTTATTTATTTTCTTTATTGCAAAATCAGATATACAGAGAGGAGAGACAGAGAGGAACATCTGTCTGTTGATTCACTTCCCAAGTGGCAACAACGGCTGGAGCTGAGCCAACCTGAAGCCAGGAGCCAGGAGCTTCCTCCAGGTCTCCGATGCGAGTACAGGGTCCCAAGGCTTTGGGCCGTCCTCCACTGCTTTCCCAGGCCACAGGCAGGGAGCTGGGTGGGAAGTGGAGCAGCCGGGACTCGAACTGGCGCCCCTATGGGATGTTAGCACTTGCAGGTGAGGACTTGAGCCGTCGCACAGAGCCCTCTTGCCTTCTTGCTGTGGAACCTTGGCTCAGGCAAGAGAATCGTGTCCGAGCTGGCCAGCTCTGGCACTGGGATCGATCTACCTTAAGGAATGTGGCCCGTAGTGCCCTGCGCGGGGTGGGGTGGCTCTCTGCTTCTGCTCCACATCAGAATGAAACTGCCTCGAAGGTCAGGTGCCCGGCCTCGGCTGCGGGCAGCGGGGCTTGGGAAAGGCCCGGGGAATTCTTGGTAGTTCTGGCTTGCTGTGCCCACGTGCATGGGGGTCTGGTGCGTGGTCATGTGGGCACAGCCTGTGACGGAGGCAGGGCAAGTGTTCTGTGCCGACGTGAAAGCAAGTCGCTGACCCGGGGCCAGATCTCTGTGTCCGTTGAACTCAGTCCCCTGGCCCTTCACCGCGTCCTGCGCTGGCGTCCCTCACGGAGGGGGATGCGCTCCCAAGGGCCATGCTCCAACCCTGGATGCCAGCAGCTCCTGGCACTGGTCCAGTAGAGAGCAGGGCCCCGGCAGATGCCGCTCACTGGGCCATGCTTTCTAGAAGGTTCTGAAGGCACTTTCCCCTGGTTTTTGTACAGAAGTTTGAGTCAGGATTGGCTTTAGAGCGCAGAGTGAAAGCCTGCTTAGCTGGCCCGTGTCCCGCAGCACAGAGCCTCGGTTCCTGCTCCGGGCCGGCTTGGGGCCCTGCCGGGGGGACCCGGATGGAGGCCTGGCTCCCAGCTTCAGCGTGGGTCAGCCATCGCGCTGTAGCACGCATGTGGGAAGTGAAGCAGCAGATGGAAGATCTCCATCTCCATTTCTCGTCTGCCTATGAGATAAAAAAGATTCATTAGAAAAAAAATATCTATCTATCTATATATAGATATATGGTATAAAATCACCTTCGGGTTCTATGTTGAAGGTATATGTGAAACATAAATGAACTTGTTAGATTTGGGGTCTGTCCCCAAGATAACCTTACCATCTATGTGCAGGTCTTTAATCCAACACAGACGTGATATTGCAAGCTGGGGGCGGAGGGAGCAGATCTTCTAGATAGTAAGGAAGAATCGGATTGGTCACCCGTGCAGGTGGGACCGGACGGGAGCTCACCCACATGCCCTCCCCGCGCCTGCGCCCTGGCCAGCCGCCTGGCCACCAGCCTCTGGAAGGCCTGCAGCGGGGCTGGCAAGGGCCGGGGACGGCCGCCTTCCACACCCCAGGGATCCGGCCAGGTTAGAGAAAGCACCACCACCACACAGCATGCCGTCTGTACCCGGACGCCCACAGACTGTGGCGGGGAAACAGCCATCATCCCCTCAGCCCTAACGGGGCCAGCCATCACTCCCCCCCATCACCCTTGGGCACAGGCATCCGCAGAAAGTTCTGGAACCACACCACCACACAGCTATGCCAGCCAGGCCTCTGCGTGGAGCCTGCGGCGTGTTTGTCAAAAGTGCCTTTGGGAGCGTAGTCTGACTCCCGTGTTGCCTTCTGTGTAGGGCACAGCCACGTGCCTTTGTTTCTGGAAGGTTCCATTGGCAGCAGGCCACTGGGCGGGGCTGTCTTGGATGGTTGGTTCTGTCAGCCCCACCCCCCTCAGCGTCTTGGCCCTTCTTTCCTTCTGTCACCTGAGCTTAGGGCCAGTGGCTGCATTCCAGCTCCCCGACTCCCCTGAGCTTTGGGGCCAGGGCAGGGGTTTGAACCACGTTCACAGTTTGGGGCTTCCGAGTGGCTGGTGCCCGGTGAGGGGTTGGTCTAGGGGCACTGTTGCCAGCGTCCCTGCTGGCCCTCCTGCCCGGTAGGGTCCCCGCCCCCTCCCTGATTCGATGGGGGGGGGGCGCAGGTTTTTTGGTTTAGGTTACGTTGGTACACCTGCATGGAGGTAGAACTCAACTCGCAGTTCATGTATGTTTAAAGTGCAGAACTGAGCTGTTTTTGGTATATCTGCAGTTGGGCAAAACCGTAATAATTCCAGAACTTTTAAGATACATATATTTTTCAAAATTTTATATAATTTTTTGGAAAGGCCGAGTTACAGAGAGGAAGACACAGCAGGAGACCTTCCATCTGCTGGTGAACCCCCTAAATGGCTGCAGTGGCTGGGCCAGGCTGAAGGCAGGAGCCAGGAGCTCCATCTGGGTCTCCCATGCGGGTGCAGGGGCCCAAGTGCTCAGGCTGTCTCCTGCTGCTTTTCCAAGGCGCACGAGCAGGGAGCTGGACGGGAAGTGGAGCAGCCGGGACTCGAAGCGGCACCCCTACAGATGTCCACGCCGCAGGTGGAAGGTTAGCTTGCTGCACCACCCTGCTGGCTCCGGGAGCTTCATGCCTTCCCATGGCTGCCCTGCCCTGCCCGCCTGCTGTGGCCTTTGACCCACTGGCACTATTTGGCCGATCTGAATGTCTGCTTCCTTTTTTTCTTCCTCCCCCTCACCTCTTTTTTTAATTTCTGCTTGCGGGAGTGAGGAAGCTCTTGCATCCGCTGGGTGCCCATAGCAACCAGGGCTGAACCGGGTCGAAGCCAGGGGCCGGGAACTCCGTCCGGCTCTGCAGTGTGCGCGGCACCCGCCACCTGCTGCCTTCCCAGGCAAAGTGGGCAGGGAGCTGGCTGGGAAGGGAAGCGGGCAGCGCTGGAACCGGCAGTCGTCAGTGTTGTTCACACTGCAAGCAGTGGCTGAACCCGCTGCTCCCCAGCCCGGTTACCCAGAAGTCGCCAGCAGGTGCCCCATCAGACGGGCTCTTGTTGCTAAGGCGGATGACTGCCAGGCTGTAAGGACAGCACCTCACCTCAGTTCCTCTGGGAGTTTCACTCAGTCATTGGTAACCACAGCCGGGTACTTTCCCTCTGGCTGCATTACCCACGAGGCTCCCCGCGGCCCCCCAGGTCGGGGTCTGGAGTTAGGGTGGCACCACGAGGCTCCCCGCGGCCCCCCAGGTCGGGGTCTGGAGTTAGGGTGGCACCACGAGGCTCCCTGCAGCCTATTGCATCCATCACCCTGTTTCCAGTGACAGGTGTCTGACCTTGACCCCCCCTCCAAGGACACACAGGTGGCTCAGGAACCCTGCTGCGCCACACTGTCCCCCTCGTGAGGTCACTTTCTAAGAGCCCTTGCAACACTGGGCACAGGCATGGCAGGCACTCTGCATTGGCAGGCTCACTGGGTCCTGGGGCGCAGGCGTGCTGGACACTCTCCATTGGAGGGGTGTGTCCTTGCAAAGCCTAGCATCCCTTGGAGTGCGGGTTCAAGACCCTGTCGCTTCGCTTCTGATCCAGCTGCCTGCCAAGCAGAAGGCAAGGCCCTCTGCACCCCGGGGGTGCCCCATGTGGAGCCCCTGGCTCCTGCCTGCCTCAGCCATGAGCATTGTGGGCCTTTGGTGAGAAGCCAGTGGGTAGATTCATCTTCTCTCGGTCTCTGCCTTTCGAGCACATAATTTTTTGGAAGATTTATTTGTTTTTATCGGAAAGGCAGGTTGACAGAGAAAGCTCTTCTACCCCTAGTTCACTCCCCAAGTGGCTGCAATGGCCAGAGCTGAGCTGAGCCAGTCCAAAGCCAGTCCAAAGCCAGGAGCCTCTTCCGGGTCTCCCCCGCGGGTGCAGGGTCCCAAGGCTGTGGGCCGTCCTCCACTGCTTTCCCAGGCCGCAGGCAGGAGCTGGGTGGGAAGTGGGGCAGCTGGGATGTGAACCAGTGCCCATGTGGGAATCATGGCACAGGGAAGGGGAGGATGAGCCAGTTGAGCCATCGCACAGCACCCAAAAGGATGCTATTTATTCACTTTTTGCATATTTTGTTGATTGAGAGAATGTCTCTAAACAGGGTACCTTGCTTGCGTGGAGGGAAAGTGAGGGCATTCAGGAAGAATTCTGCCCACCCCGTCCTCCAAGCACCAGGTCAAAAAAAAAAAAAAAGCCAAAAGAAAACAGCAACAGAGAGAGTTTTTCACTTATACCGAAGCAAGCAACCCCAGCCACGTGCAGGAAAGGCCAGTGATTTTTTTGGGAGGGGGAGGGAAGCAAATAAAAATGTTTCCCAAAAGTTTGTTAACAGGTGTCAGGCCCACCCCGGGCCCGCGTGGTTCCCATCAGCCCGCCTCCCTCCCGTTTCAGATCTGGGGTCTTCCTGGAACTGCGACGGAAAAAAAAAATGTGTATTTTTTTCCCTCCACTTTTGGCTGAACCCCCGGGTTAAGAGCCTGCAGCTGGAGCACCTGCGGCTCTGCGTCTGACCGACAACTCTGACCTTGCGCTTCCGTGGCCCAACGCGCGCGGGCACCCCACGAGGCTCCGACCCTTCCCCGCCCGTGACCGGCGGATGTCGGGGTGCGTGGGGAGCCCCCCGCAGCTGCTGCCCGGCCGCCCGGGGCCCGCCCGGTGAGCCTGCCCACCCCCGATCCCCAGAATGCAGGAATCGGCCTTCGTCGTGTCCGGCTGTCTCCGAGGGCCACGCGGGGTAGAACATTCGGCGGCCGCTCCCGCGTGGGGCGCCCCAAACGTCCGGGACCCGCCTTGTGAGCCTGCCGGGCAAGGCTTCGCCGCCCTTCCGCGCTCCCCCAACCCCAGGATTCAGAATTCGGGGTTCGTCGTGTCCGGTTGTCCCCGAGGGCCACGCGGGGTAGAACATTCGGCTCCCTTAGAAGCGGCCACTCCCGGGCGGCGGCGCGCGTTTCCGCCCCGAGGCTCCGCCCCGCGCCACGCCCCCGGCCCCGCCCATCTCCCAGGACGCGACCGTTGCCCCGCCCCCAGCGCCTCTCAACGGCTCCCGGGGCCCGGCGGGTGCAGCCGGGGGGCGCAGTGCGCCTGCGCGCGCGCCTCGGGCCGCCCTCATCTCCCAGCGTCCTCAGCGTGGCGCCGACGCTGCGTGCGGCGCGGGTTACCCAGCGTGCTCCGCGCGGGGGCAGCTCAGTGGAGTTTGGTTCTCGCGGCGGCGGCTCCTCCTCCTCCTCCTCCTCCTCTCCTCCTCCTCCGGCGGCGGCGGCGGCGGCGGCGGCGGCGGCGGCGGCCCGGGCCCGACCCCCGGCTCCGGCTCCCCCTGCCTGCCCTCCCGGCGCCGCGGGGAACATGCGTCCCCGGAGGCCGGCGACCGAGTGACCCCCCGCGTCGCCCCCCGCCTTGGCCCGGCCGCTCCCCCCACGCCTCGCCCAGGCAATGACAGCGGCTCCGGCGTCTCCGCAGCAGATGAGGGACCGGCTGCTGCAGGCCATCGACCCCCAGAGCAACGTGAGTACGGCTCCGGGGACCCCCAGGGCTGCCGGCGGGCCGCGTGAGGCCTGGGCTCGGCCCTGCGCGCAGCCGGTGTCCCGGGTGTCAGGGGCGGCAGCCGGGGCCTCGTCCGCGCCCAGGGCGGCCCCGGAGGCTGCGGGTGCCGGCTAGAGAGGGGAGCCTCCCTGGGCCGTGCTGGGGTGCCTGCTGGAGAGGAGGGCCTTCCTGGGCCGTGCTGGGGTGCCTGCTGGAGAGGGGAGCCTCCCTGGGCCGTGCTGGGGTGCCTGCTGGAGAGGGGGGCCTTCCCGGGCCGTGCTGGGGTGCCTGCTGGAGAGGGGGGCCTTCCTGGGCCGTGCTGGGATGCCTGCTGGAGAGGAGGGCCTTCCTGGGCCGTGCTGGGGTGCCGGCTGGAGAGGGGGGCCTTCCCGGGCCGTGCTGGGGTGCCGGCTAGAGAGGGGGGTCTCCCCTGGCCGTGCTGGGGTGCCGGCTGGAGAGGGGGGCCTTCCCGGGCCGTGCTGGGGTGCCGGCTAGAGAGGGGGGTCTCCCCTGGCCGTGCTGGGGTGCCGGCTGGAGAGGGGGGCCTTCCCGGGCCGTGCTGGGGTGCCGGCTAGAGAGGGGGGTCTCCCCTGGCCATGCTGGGGGTGTCGGCGGGAGAGGGGTCCTTCCTAGATATTCCTGGGATGCCGGCTGGAGAGTCAGGGTCTTCTGACCTGGGCGGCCTTCCTGGGTCCTGCTGGGGGTGTTGGCTGGGCAGTCAGAGTCTCCTGGCCTTCCCGGTCCTCTTTGGGGTACTGGCTGGAGAGGGGACCTTCCCAGTTGTCCTTACCTTCCCAGTTCTCCGAGATGCCAGCTAGGCAGGGGTCCTTCTAACCCTGCTGGGTGTAGAGTGAGGGTCCCCTGGCCAGGGCGGCCTTTCCGACCTCCTAGGTGCTCCTGAGGGACACTGGCTGGGCAGGGGTCCTTCCTGGATCCTCCTGCAGGATGCCGGCTGGGCGGTCAGGGTCCCCTGGCCAGGGTGGTCTTTCCAGGCCTCCTGGGGGACATCAGCTGGGCAGGGGTCCTTCCTGGATCCTCCTGCAGGATGCCGGCGGGCGGTCAGGGTCCCCTGGCCAGGGTTTTCTTTCTGGGCCTCCTGGGCGATGCCAGTTGCTAGCTGGGCAGCTGGGGCTGTCCTTGGGGTGGTCTTTCCGGGCCTGGATGGCCGGCTGCCTGGTTGCAGCTGGGGAGGGAGTCTTGTTCTCTTCCCCCTTGGTGGTGGTCCACTGCACTGTGGCTGGTGGCACAGGGTCTCGTGGACAGCATGTCCAGGTCTCAGGTAAGACCAGGAAGTGGTCATTGACGGAAGCCAAAAAATAGTAAAAGCTGGTTGTGGGCTTGGTTTCCCTGTCTGTGGGAGCGGCATGTCCCCTGCCTTGGCACTGGGGGCCCCTGGGCAGTGATGTGGCCAATCTGGGGGTTGTGCCGGGTGCAGGGCTGTAAATGCTTGCCTTTGTGCCTTGGCTCCGAGCTCCATTGAGATGGCCGGGATGGCCACTGTCCTCCACAGATGTCACATACGTTGGTGTGTGCCTTTGGGGGTGCAGTAGGGTGCTCCAGGAAGCCTTCTGAAATGCTCTTTCTGTGGAGATGGGACTCACGTACTCCTGAAGGCAAAGTGGCCAGGGAGTCCAGCTCTCTTCCCTTTGGGAGCTTGAGGGCTGCCAGGCTCGCAGTGCTGGCCCAGGAGGTGCTGTGACAGGTGGGTCAGGTAGAGCCGTGACCTGGGGGACCCTGCCACTCCTCTCATCTGGAGGGAACGAAGCTGCTTCCGGTGTAGCTGGGCCGTGCTGCCCGGCAGGACTGCGTTCATCCAGGTTATACATCCTAGTAGCCGGTGTGTGGGTGGGTGGAGTCCTCCTCGCGTGGTGGTAAGGGCATTGGATGCCGGCGACTGTGAAGCCTGGGGCTCGGACCTCTTAAATGTGCCTGCGGCCAGGGACTGTGCATGTGTGGGGCTCTGAGCGAGCGTGAGCAGGGAGCCGGGCAGTGCGCTGTGTGCACCTGTGGCGGCTCTCCCCACGGCTGGCCGGCGGGGGGACAGGAGGGCGGCTTGAGGATGGTGCTGCTGCCGCTGCACATGCACAGCACACTGACATGTACAAGACACGAACACGCACACACGCACGGCTCTCTCCTCTGCCTTGCCCCGTCGTGAACTCCACTACCGGATGGTTAGTTGACACATATTTAAGGTGCTCATGGGAAAAAAAAAATGGGGACAGTGTTGAAGAGCTAAGACTAAAATTAAACCTCTTCAGAGAGAAGCGATGGAGAATGGTGTCATGGAATGCCTACCTTGGTGGGCATGCGGTGACACTGCCCAAGCTGGGTTGACCCGAGAGCCACCGAAGCACCTGAGAAGTTGGGGAGGTGACGAAGCACTGCCACGTGACCCCTCCAGTGGGTGTACCTGGGAGGACGCCTGGCTGTCGGCCCTCAAGGTCAGCCTCTGTAGCCGTGGGCTCAGAGCCGGTCGTTTCTGCGAGTTGGCTGGCGGAGTGGGTCCTAGACTGTTGGCAACTTGCTCTCTCCTGGGAGTCATGTCGGAATGCTCAGAATGATAGCTGCCTGATCACTCTGGTTTGGACAGAGTGAGTGGTGGGCCAGGCCCTACCTTGGACTGTCCATAGCCCACTGTCCCAGCACGTGGCCAGGTTCCATTTGTGGCGGACGCCCACCAAGCCATGGACATTTGGCCTTGTCTTCCTGACGGGGACGCAGCATGCTCAGGGCTGTTGGGTTTCCTGTCGTCTCCCTCGGAGCAGAAGCCTGTGGCAGGCCTGGGGGGCAGGTCAGCTCCTCAGACCTGTGCGGCCCAGGAGCCGTGTTGGACCCCCCTTTTCCCAAACAGTCCCAGTGGTCGCTCTGCACCCAGTTGAGACATGGGCATCAGGAGGCCAGCCTGTGCGGTGTCCGGAGCTCCTAGTTGGCTGAGAGCCTGGTCTGAGGAAGTGGAGGAACAGGCTGTTAAGTGATGGCTAGCGGGGGCGGGGCTGTGATGACCACAGGTTAGGCTGACATCCCGTGTGGTGTTGGTTCGAGTCCTGGCTACCCCATGTGCAGTCTGGCTGAATGCTAATGGCCTGAGAAAAGCAGCAGCAGGTGGCCCAGTGTCCTGGCCACGTCACTCATGTGGGAGACCCGGGTGGAGCTGCTCTGTCCTGGCTTCTGTCTGGCCTTGCCTCGGCGGCCATCTGCGGAGTGAACCAGTGCTTGGAGATCTCTCTCTGTTCTCTCTGTAGCACTGACTTCCAAGTGAACTAAATGAGTCTTTTTTAAAAATTACAGTTAATAAGCTTGGCTTCTAGAGGAATGGCGTGACAAGGCCACAGTGGAGCAGGCAATATCCCCATCAAAAACCAGAAAGTCGCCGGGCAGAGCAAAGCATGGCTTTTATTTGTTTTGTTTTTCATCTTTATTTGAAAGGCAGATAACAGGAAGAGAAGGAACGGCAGGCGAAGATCTCCCATCTCGTGGGTTGCTCCCCACATGGCTGCAGCAGCCGGGGCTGGAACGGGCCAGCGCGGGGAGCTGGGAATCCCATGGGTGTCCCCCGTGGGTGTTGGGCTCAAGTCCTGGGACTGCCTTGCCCTGCTCTCCAGCTGCTTCAGCAGGGGGCAGCCAGGGCTCCGTCCGGCACGCTGATGCCGGCCTTGTGTGCAGCATCGGCACGTGCTGGGCCACCACGCAGACCCCAGGCCACGCTGGTTTCACTGCAGCTGGAGGGTGAGGAACGTGCGAGAAGAGTGGAACTGGCTGGACGTGAGTGTGGATGCCCTGGCTGCCAGGCTCCAGGGCCGGACTCCTCGGGAGCTGCTGGAGGCTGTGGGGGCCAGCCATGCTTCCTAGGCCCCCTGGCCGGCCACCTCCTGCCAGTTCCGGGTCCAGATGCTGGAAGGGACTTCAGAGGCCACCCCGGGTTGTTTCGCGAAGTTGAACTGTGTAAGCTGCACTGCACGAACATTCTTGAGTAACTGCACGAACATTCTTGAGTAGCAGGGTCCTGATTCTAATTTTGAACGTTTGCTTGTGTGGCACCCCAACGCCGTTCTGCCTTCTCTCAGCAACCCCGTGCAGGGAGGCTGCAGAATGCCAGCCCGTCCCCACGTGTAAGCGACAGCGTGACAGGCACAGGCCAGGGGACCGTGCGTCTGGCTCAGTACAGGGCCAGGTGCTTGCGGAAGGCTGAGAGGTAGCTTCAGGGAGATCTGGGGTGCCTCTGGTGCCCTCAGGAATTCATCAGAGGGTACAGCTCGGGGTAGATGTCCCTGAACTGCGGCTAACAGGTGGAGGAGCTAGATGACACGTCCTGGAAGCTTCTGGAACGGACTGAGCCATACTGAGTCCAGTGGGAACTTGTGCAGTCTTCATGTTCTCACTTTGTCTTTTGCTTCAAGATGGCAACTCTTTGGTGATCGCTTGCAGTGTGGTGGAGGACAGCAGCTGGGTCGTGTGGAGGCCGCCTGGCCGTGCTGAGGTCCCGTCTCTGCTGGGCCAGGGAGCCAGTCCTTGTTGGTCACTCCACTCCCCATCTCCTGGACACTGGCGGCTCTGTCTACCAGCGCAAGTAGTGGCTGTGATTCCTGGTCTGGGGCGTGGCAGTGCAGTCCTGTGTCTGCCTGGCCCTTGGGGCCCAGGAGCTGGTTGTCCAAAGGCTGTGTGTGATCAGGTGGTCTCGCCAGCGCCAGGCTTGGCGTGCCCTTGCAGACCCGCTCCTGGGCTCCCAGGACCTCATCCATGGGGTGCGTGCTGTGTTCACGCCGCTGTCCAAGTAGATTGGGCCTGGGAGGTGACGGGCACAGGGCAGCGTTGGACGTGGAGGCCGCAGAGCTGCACCTGCCCAGGCCTGCCTGGTTTTGCACATTGGAGGGGCAAAACCAATGTGCCCAGACCTCCTCAGGGTGCTGGGTCTATTCTCTGGGGTCCCCGGCAGGCTGCGGCTTCACAGTCCAAGTGGATGGTTCTGCCTGCGTCTAACCCGAGGAGATCGGCGTTCGTAAGCGAACAGACGGGCTCTCTGGAGCACTCCGTCCTTTGTGAGCTCCGGAGGAAGCTGTGGGGTCCGTGGGGGCAGTCCTTGACCATCGCTGCGAGAGGGGACAGCAGCAGCAGAGCTCTGGGTGGTTCGTCCCTTGGCCGTGGGTGCCACGTGTGCAAGTGCCAGGCTCTGTGGAGGGCTGGGGGCCTGGGTGGTGCCGTCATGCCCCTGTGTCAGGCTTGGTCTGCGGGGCTTCCAGAGCCTTCAGGGGCGCCTAGAAGGTCCAGCAGGACTGTTGGCGAGCTGTGGAGCTGGCGGCGCCCAGCCTGGTTCCTGAGGCTCTGTATGAGGGCACTGCCCTCCTCGATGCCCAGGCCAGTGGCGTCAGAGGCCTCCGGGTATCACTAGGATCCTGCGCACCCAGGCAGGAAGGGATCTGGAGAATTCCTAGGAGCTCATGGTCCGGGTGAGCCTGCCCTCTGGGCTGGGGTGTCGTCCCTGGGCTCCCCTTCCCACAGGAGCAGTGGTCAGCATCGCTCGGTCCTGTCGTGTCTGGAACATTCTGGTTCTCTTACCCATCCCCTCTCTGGGCCTGCTGCCTTTCCGCCTGCACTTCCTCCAGGCGCACGGCCCGAGCGTTGCGTGAGGCCCCGCTTGTGTTATGGGAAGCGCCAGAGCACTGCGGGTGCCGGTGGCCGGGCTCTGAGGAGCTGTTGTTGAGAAAACTCAAGGACAGAGCTGCTGCTGCTGCAGCCGTGCTCTGAGTCTGTCTGTGTGGGAGAGGGAGACGGGCGGGAGCTGGCCTTGGTGGCTCTGGTCGGGGACCCCATCACCCCACTGGCCTCCTGCGACCAGACGCTGCTCATCAGGAAACGCTGGACCTCTTGGTTGGATTCTGGCTGTTAAAGGTCTTGGCGGGCATTTTCCATGGGCTCCCACAGGTGTGGGCGCCACGTGAGAGGGCTGTGGCGGAACCTGCGGGCAGCCCTCCGTGAGGTGCCAGCAGGGTTTAGCATCTCCTGTGTAACCCAGACACGGCCCTGGCCCTGGGAAGGAGCGCGCCCACCTGCTGGCTGCTTCCCATGGCCCCGCCAGAGGGTGGGGGCGGTGGGTACACAGTGCAGGCCTGGGTCCGGATCCTCACCCACCCTCATCTAGGGTACAGAACGTGCTTGGGGCTAGGCCAAGAGCCTCATGTTTCAGCGAGATTTTTGTGTATTAGAATATTCGCAAAGGCTTCGAGCACCCCGCTTCCCCAAATCTGCAATTCCACAGGCTCCAAAATTGGAAGTTTTTTGAACGTGGAAGTGACGCTCTGAAAGGTTTGCAGTTCAGGTTTTTGTGTTTGTGATAAAGATTTAGTTTGGGGCCTGGCACTATGGCTCAGTGGCTAAATCTTTGCCTTGTAAATGCTGGGATCCCACATGGGCGCTGGCTTGTGTCCTGGCTGCTCCACTTCCCGTCCTGCCTGTGGCCTGGGAAAGCAGTGGAGGACGGCCCACAGCCTTGGGACCCTGCACCCGTGGGGGAGACCTGGAGGAGGCTCCTGGCTCCTGGCTTCAGATCAGCTCAGCTCCGGCTGTTGCAGCCGCTTAGGGAGTGAACCAGTGGACAGATTTGTCTTTCCTTCTATCAATCTGTCCTTCCAATAAAAATAAATGGGCCTGGTGCCATGGCCTAAAGGATAAAGTCCTCATCTTGAACGCGCCGGGATCCCATATGTGCCTAATCCTGGCAGCCCCACTTCCCATCCAGCTCCCTGCTTGTGGTTTGGGAAAGCAGTCGAGGATGGCCCAGAATAAATCTTTAAACAATATTTTATTTCAAAGTCATCTCTGTGTGTGTGTATAAAATATCTTTAGAGAGCTCTTCCTGTGCTGGCTCACCCCTCAAATGACTGCAGCACCCAGGGCTGGGCGCGGCCAGCGTCAGCAGCGTCACCCACATCTCCCCTTGGGCTGCAGGGCCCAAGCTTTGGGCCTTCCTCCGCCGACATGGAGCTGGATGGGAAGTGAAGTGGCTGGGACTTGAACCAGCACGCATATACAATGCTGGCATCATGGCTGGCAGCAGATTCACCTGCTATGCCACAGTGCTGGCTCCTCTGTTTGGTACCATGATGGAGAAGGTAGTGCTTCATTTTAGATCCTCGATTCACAGTTGAAATGCCACCTCCCTAGACCCTTCAGCCGTTTTTGGTCATGTGACAAAATCTTTGCTTTTAGGTAGCCAGTAAAAAGGAGCGTTGAGTATCCGGGTCATGTTCGTGGTGGGTGAGCCCCATGGCCGCTTTGGAGTCCCTGACCACACCTAGGCCGTGTGACCAGGAGGTTTTGTGTTGGGGTCTGGCTGTGGCTGGCCTTGATTCTGGAAGGTTCTGGTCCCCAAGTTCCTGGGGGTACTGAGGCGTGTGTCCCAGTGAGCCATGCCCGAGACCAGTGGGCCTGCTTGTCCCTGGGCTGC